CACATAAAAAATATTGCATTTTTAAACAGAAAGAGAAAGATGGTGTACAAAGGCAATAGACGCTTGATTCCGTAATGACTGTACTCTGGGACGGAAGGATTCGAACCTCCGAATAGCGGGACCAAAACCCGTTGCCTTACCGCTTGGCTACGCCCCATTTCGATTTTTATTCAAGATTGCTAAAAGAGTAATATTGCTATTGGTTATTCGTCAATTCAATTTAAGCCCAAATTGAATATAGATTACATTGGTGCTAGAACGTGTAGATAGCAAATCAAACTGACATTATTGATCATTACATAGAATTCAATTAAGATATTATATGAAAATATTATTTCTTTCATTCTCATAAAAGGATTAAAGGATTTTTGATTGAGTAAGTTCAACAAAGTCTTTTTGGACTATCTTTCTTTATTTTTTTCCTTATATAAAAAATATATTAATAACTCAATCAAAATTAAATTATCCACAATAACACCAATTTTTGTTATGCTTAATATATTTAATTTGATCTGTATTTGTTTGAATTCTGCCCTTTTTTCAAGCACTTTTTTAGTCGCCAAATTACCGGAGGCCTACGCCTTTTTGAATCCAATCGTAGATGTTATGCCCGTAATACCTCTTTTCTTTCTTCTCTTAGCCTTTGTTTGGCAAGCAGCTGTAAGTTTTCGATGAAATTCTTAATACTGTCTTAGAAAAATTCACGATTTTTATTTTTAATCTTACAACAATTCAAAAGATCAAAAAAATCTTGACATTAGAAACGAACTCTAAATTCAAACATTTCATTTTTTGGTAGCCGTACTAAATATGGATAATTATATTTCCTCAATTTTATTCTCTTTTCCCTAAATGAAAGAACCTAATTAGATTCGAGTTCGCAAAAAAAAATCTCTAGATGTTAGTAGGCAAATCTGTTTGAATATGAAAGACTCGACTATTATCTTATTACAAATGACTTTCTGAAACCTTTTTTTTATTTTTTTTTGAGAAAAAAAAATAAATCACTTGATTTATTGGTATAAAAATTAGATATTTGGTATAAAAATAGAGAATCTATTCTCTTTTTTTTTTGAAAAAAAGTAAGATCTTGGAGATTGTGTAATACTTACTCTCAAACTTTTTGTATACACTGTAGTTATATTCTTTGTTTCTCTCTTCATATACCCAAAATTATATCTAATAATATAATAAACTAGAAAAAGGAACGAATAAATGGTACTTAAACCAAAATAGTATGACACTTACACTTGTGTCTTGACTTTCTTTCTTTAAATGGTATGAAAACCATGATTGAGGAATATAACTTGATAGAAAAAGTGATAGGTTAGAGTTTATATACATAGGAGACGATTAGTAGGATTAGAGTTTTAAATTGTTTTTAACATGATCTTCCATATATTTTTTAATGTGATTTTTTAAAAAAAAATTTTTAATCTAGCCGCTATCATCCATAACCACAAAAAGCAGTTTTTAGATTTCAGCAGTACAAAACGATACATAACGGTTTGCAACAATTTTTATAATTGTTATAAAATACTACTAACCACTACCAACCGTAAATAATGTGTTTGTGGGTGATAACGGGTGAACCAATAATACTGATACGCAATGTGATGAGAATAGAGGTAAATAAGCCTTGTGATTTTCGGCCCATACATATTTGAAAGCCCACCAATTTTTAGGTTTTACAAAATTCGTCATCTCTCTTTAGTCTTCAAATTAGTTATCAGCGCCGTCCCTGACTACTAATTTAGGGTTTCCAACGTTTAGAGTGTTTCCTCGCCGTTCGTCCTTGTCCTCTCTATCTTTTTTCGCTCCCGAGAGTTCTAAAATCATGGGATTTTCCAATATTTGGAATTCTCATCCCAAAAAGTACGGTCCTGGTTCCCGCACATGGTAAGGCCTTCTTCTTCTTCTTCTTCTCCGCCGTGAAATTAAGCGAATTGCTTGAGACCTAAGGCGTTGTTTCGTATATTTTTTTTGTGATTCGTGTTAACAGAGCTATATATCTTCTCTTTATCTGATCTTCGTGAAATTTGTTAATTTTATAATGTAGAGTGAGTGTCATTATTAATATCGATGTTTGTTGAAAAATGTGAGTGTTTTGAATAGCTCTGTTACTGTTTTTTGGGTTTGCAAGCGAATTCATGTAAAGGTGCTTGTAGATCCTTAGAGACGCATCAAAAGATCCATATTTGGGTGAATTAATTGGAGTTTTTTTTTCACCTTTTTTTTTTTGTTCAGTGCAATGTTAAATTTTGCTTTGTAAACATTTACGAAACAATGCTCTTTACTTTTGTTAAATGCATATACGTACTCACCTAACTATAAAGTTTCAATTTGATTCTTGCAGCCGTGTGTGCGGAAACTCCCATGGGTTAATCAGGAAGTATGGTCTTAACTGCTGTAGACAGTGCTTCCGCAGCAACGCCAAGGAAATCGGATTTATTAAGGTAATAACTATTGTTTGTCTCGATGACGTTTTCGTATTTTTTTTTGGATCGAGAAAATTAATTCATTGTTTTGCTTCCCACTTCTTTACAGTACCGTTGAAGAAGATCAGTGTCTCGCTTGATTGCGTGGGGGGCATCATGTCTTTTTCGTTTAAAAACTTTAAGCCCAAAATATTGTAATGGATTTATTGTCAATGATCTATTTCGTTAAGCCGTTGAATCTTTTAGTTGCTTTGTTATTTTCATAAATATATGGTTGCCTGATTGATCAGAAGCATTCTCTATAGATTGTAATGAAATAATGTTGGAACTGGTCCAGAGGCTTTAGGTTAACTATACAAAGACAATTCTCTATATCGTCTTTCTCTCGTCAAGAATAGTAAAGCTTCTTTTTCTTGTGACATCGAATATTAAAGCTATATTTTTGGTTCATTAGATATATATCAAGATCATCAGGATAGGCATACAATACGTATATCAAAATCAAACTGTCATTCATCACCATGGTTTGCTCTTTGATTCCACAATGAAGCTTGCCCTTTGCAGCCAGATCTCTTTTTCTTTTCTTTTTTATTCGCTGAAGATACGTATTATTAAAATCATAAGGAAACAGTTGAGTTCTGCTCTTGGCAGAGCACCATGGAAACAGAGCAAATTTGGTAGATTCCATATGGTAAAGGCTCTTGGGATTTGGAGGAGTTTTGTTGAAGATGTCTATCTTTTGTTGTAGATGAATCCAAACACAGAGATATCTTTTGTTGTAGAAGAATCCAAACACAGAGAGAGTTTCTTGAGGATAACCCAATTCTTTAGGAAGTACCGTACTAGCTTTCAGCAGCATACTTCCTTCTAAATTTCGATACTAAAAGATCAGATTCATTTTCTATGTGGCGGTTTTGGTTTGTCAATGTTCAGTTTGACCTGCAAAGAGAGGACCATGGAATTGCAGAAACTTAGTAGAAGCGAACTGAAGCAATAACTGTTACGCTTGTTCACATAGTTTCATCGTCTTTACAATAAATCACCAAAATATGAAAACAATGAGCTCTTCGGCGAACCTCACCATTAATCAAAGTCACAAATGGTGAGGAACAAATGAAAGCCTAAACCTACATCAACCGATTACTTGTGGAAGAAAACCTCACTATGTTCCCTCTACTCTTTACCAATAAGAGGATGACGACTTCACATTTGCTAGAGCCTCTTGGCATTTCGAGGATTTTCTTCAAGATGTCATCTTTTGTAGCCAAACACAGAGTGAGTTTCTTGAGGATAGCCGAATTTTTTAGGAAGTATCCTACTAACTCCATTTCAGCAGCACAGCCCTTGATCGGGTCTTTGAAATCAACAAACTCGAGAGACGATAGCAAACACTCAGGCACAGATGAAAAGCTGATTTCATTGGTTTTGTTATAACCACCACTGCATACCTGATGAATAAAAAGAGGGTTAAAACGCAATGGATAGATTGCAAATAATTGATAGAGATGAAAAAACTCATAAGTTTCAGAACATCACCATGGTGAGAGATTTCAAGTTTGGGCAGCTCTCAAGAAAGGTTGGTAACCATATCAAATTAGATACGCAGAATGTGACATCCAGGCGGGACATGTTACGAAACTGAGGCAGCGATTCAAATTTCGAGTATTCAAAGAAGAGCTGAAACCAAAAAGAAAAAGAATGTGGGTCAGAAACTTTCATGATAGAAAAAAAAATGTACATTGTTTAATACCAAAACTGACATATATACCTCGAAAGTGTCTTTTGATGTCGTCATATCCCTGACCTTTGAAATCCCAAGGAGAAAACTGCGGAGTCTATTTCTCGCTGATGAAAAGCTTACTTCATTAAAAAATCCCAAAGCAAAGCTGAGAGAAAGATATAAACTGGCACTGGAATCCATATTAGCTATTATAAAGCTTTCTGATAAGTTATCTTTGATGCTCAAAAAGCATAGCCGAGGAGCATCAATCACAACTCCTGAACCAAGAACATGCATAGGCACATGTTTTTTTAAACTTATAGTGAGGCTCTTCAATGACGTAGAGAGCACCCGAAAGACTTTTGCATCAGAATTAACACGTCCGTCAATCTCTAACTCCTCCAGGACAGGACAAGATGAGACAAGTCTCTCGAAAGTGGCCTCATTGGGAAATTTGATATATGTTAAATGCATAGTTTTCAGACAAGGCAAGGAAACAAACTCGGCATTAGGCAAAGCCACCAGATCAAGTGTTAAAGATGCCAGTGTCTCGCAGATATAAAGGCTTGGGGTCATCTCATATAAATAAGGACACGAAACATACAGATCTCGGATCTTTCGCTTGACTGCAGCATCAATCCATGACTTGAGATAAGAGCCAATATCTACACCATTTTCATATCTAGGAATGTTTAACTTGAGTTTGTCTATACATGAAGCCCTCCTGGAATCGAAAAACCTGTCACCAAAACTCGCAAAAGTACTAAAATCTGGGAATTCTTGGGAATCCAATTCCAAAAGAGGAACCCAAAGCCAGAGACTCCTCCATCTGGTGGATAAAACACTTGTCCTCACAGAATCCTTTGTAGGAAGTTGAGAAAGTATCTGACATATCAAAGGATCAGGTAACTGGCTTATCTTATCTTTCCTCAATCCTTTGAAACGAGCCTGTTTCGATTTCTCTCCATCAACCATTTGTTTTCTTCCTGTAGAAACTCTTCTGCATACTAGTTACAAAATCAGATAGCATTCGATCAACCTAAACAGCATTTTATCAGAAAATTGAGTCAAACAAAGAACTCTAGAATAGTAATTTCACACATATATCCAAGAAAATCCAGCTCAAACGGAGAGAAACAGATCAAGAAGAAATAAAACTACGATTAACGAAGAGAATAATTGAATACTGAATGAATATAGTGGAAATGCTTGTTTGATGCAGGCAAGAAAGACGAACCTAAGTGGGAGCGAGACAGACAAACCGTAAAGTTTCAGATTGCAAAACGGTAAAAATTAAGGGATGCGTTTCAGTTTATAGTAGTCAGTTTGGTCCTATTTGGCTGCGTTTTAGTCTGCCGATTAGTCCATTTAAATATTGGGATGCGTTGATTTTTTTCTTAAACCAAAAATAAATAATTTCAACTTTGTATAATATAAAAAAAACCACAAAAACCTCAACTTTTTGCCAATCAACAGACGTCGATTTTACATTTGGTAAAACCTCTAGAGATTTTGAACAGTTTTTATAGATTATATTTTTCTCACATTTTAGCAAAACGTAAAATGAGTTTTTATAGAATTACCTAATTCTCAACAAAGTATTTTAGAGTATGTATATTAGTGAACTCCTAAAAAACTGTTTTTAGTATTTAAATATTGTTAATTTTTGGATGGATGAATAGTGAAGAAACTGAAGTTATTTTGCCTTTCATTAGTATCTCTATTTATAGATTCTTAGGAATAAAATAATAATTTTTTTATAAAAACAAATTTTTATTTTTATTTATTTTGTTCTTAAATTTAAACTTCTATTTATTATAAAAAAAGATTTTTAATTCCTCACAGGAAATTAAAATATAGACAAAACTACTACTTTTTACTATAAAAAATTATTATTATTACTTTTTTAGAAAGAATCTATCATGGGTCTGCGTAGAAATGCAGAATATATACCACCACTATATGATATTTGCTTTTTTCCATGAAGCAGAGTTACAATATGCGAGAAAGATTTATAAGACGTAGAGCAACAAAAAAATTTAGACGTTACGGAAAATTAAATATATCATGATATAGTTATTCGTATGATATGATTTAAAATAATTGATACGAAGAACACATCAGATGGAAGCAAAGAATTAGGCAAGAGACCCACTTTCCCACGAGGAAACGCTAATAATAAAAAACTTTAATAATTCGACTAATGACACTGCGCCACGTTCCCTAAAAGATAGTATCATCAGTCTCTAAATTTAAAAACGGGTTGATAGGGTAAAAGCTTTTTTTTTTAAAATCCTTTTAATCTATGTTTCTAAGCCAAAAAAATGTTTGCATATACTGATGGACAAGCTCTTACTAGCTCCATTTCGACAGCAAGTTCCAATATCCGGAATCATAGATGAAAAGTGATTTGATTCATGATCCTCATAGCGTATTATTCTACAATCACGAACCCAATTGTGAGAAAGAAAAAAAGAATTAAAATGAGAGAGAAAAAATATAAGCATTTAACAGAAGAAAAAGAAGAAAAATAAACATAATTTTCATAGAGATTACATCTTTTGCTTTATTTTATTATAGAAACCAAGTCTTAATCTCAATTTCTTTACAATCCAAAATGCATAACTTTGATTTTACGTTGACTGTTTAGGTTTCAACGCTATATAGATGGGAGGTTTACTTTTTCTATAAAGGACCAGATACATGATAGGGTCTTACGTTAACTTCATAATTTTTGAGGAGCTTATTCTCGATCCATTTTTGTTTGAGGTTTTTTTTTTCCATTTAAAACTCTACTTTCAGTTTGTTTTATAAAATAGAGAAATGATTTTACCATTTAAACCCTTAATCTGTTTCTATTAGCTCTTTAATTAATATATCAAGGAAGAATAAGCGAAGGTATAGACTGTCATCATATAAACAAAAGAAAGAAGAAAATAAACCTTCTAGAGAAGATGCAATTTGGATCTTTTTTTTTTTGTAATAAAACTGTTAATATCATTGAAAATGAGAGCGGTTTGTAGTTAAATTACAATAAAGAAAATAACTAACTTAGAGATTTAAACCAAAAAAAAAAAACTAACTTAGAGATGATAAGCCTTACCAAAAAAAGAGTAAAAAGACAAGGAGAATCTAATGCTAAACGAGTGCAGCGAGCCTGAAGCTTATGCATTTGGAAGCCAAAGTTTTACAATTAGGTCTGAGAATGATTTGGTTTTTGATGCAGCATAATTTTACTTAAGTTTTACGCAACTCTTTTGCTGATTTTATTATTTCCTCTTTTTTTATTTTATTAACTTAATGAGACTAGAGTTTGGAATTAGCGTCTCATCTCTTATTATAAATAGATTAGCTATTTCATCTTTGTACGGTAGATTTTGATTTAATAAACTTTTAAGAGAGTATCTCTTTCAGAAATCAACTTCGCGTTTGAATTCTCAGGAAGAAATCAATTCTGAATCGTCTCTAGGTTCTCTAATCTCAAGAAGATTATCGATACTTGGAGTTTACGCTATCCGTTGCTACATTAGTTGATATCAGAGACAAAACAATCCTCATCATGCTCCTAAGAAGAATCTGCAACAGCAACTCGAAGAACAGAACGAAGCGTTTCGAGGAGCACTGATGGATTTCCAGACGGAATTACGCGAAACTTTGCACATCACAATGGAAACTGCCATTCGAACTCTTCAAGTGCAGAATAATGCGTCTCCACCGTTGCGTCGTCAAGACGAACAGGTTCTCAAGCAGGAAGATGAAGAAGATGATGTCCGTGATTTCAATCCATTCTCAGGGTTAGGGGAGCGTCGAGTACAACCTCGATAACATGTGGAGTTGGAAGTACCGAGAATCCTCGGTGGGATTCTAATTTTAAGATGGATTTACCGGACTTTCACGGAACACTGCAACCCGACGAATTGCTCGATTGGCTCAGTTCAGTGGAAGAGTTGTTGGAGTGCAAACAGGTCCCAGATGATGTGCATGTTTCCTTGGTTGCCACTCGGTTTCGAGGTCGTGCATCAGCATGGTGGCAGCAGGTGAAGGATCAGCGAGTTCGTGCTGGCAAAGAAAGAATCGCTTCATGGGACAAACTCAAACGTCTTTTGCGAAAGTCGTTCTTGCCATACAACTATGCTCGCACTTTGTATACTCGTTTTCAGAATCTGCGACAAGGGAGTCGCCATGTCGATGAGTATGCAGCTGATTTTTTCAACTTGTTGGCTCGAAATTCTTTGGGTGAATCCGAGGAACAGTTGGTGTCTCGCTTTATTGGTGGCTTACGACCACAACTACAAATCCAGCTTCTCCAGTTCGACCCCAATTCAGTGTCTGAAGCACACCAACAAGCTTTATTGCTTGAACAGAATGTTCGCACTTGTTCATCGGGTTGGTCTGCAAATCAGCGAAATTGCGCTACTGCTGTGAATGACGCCATTGTTCATACTGCTTCTGAGCAAGTGACAGCTCCGGGGAACCTAACTCGACCAGTAGAACAGACTAACGAAGCTCTGCCTCCACGAGTTAGTCGACCAATGACGTTTAAATGCTTTAATTGTGGTGAAACAGGTCATCGGCAAGCTAACTGTCTGAAATGTATACTCTTTGGCGATGATGAAGTTGTTTATGATGAGTATCAGGACGAAACAGAACAGGAGACAATTGAAGAACGTGTGGAAGGGGATAACGGTGCGATGTTGGTTATACGCCGTAATTGTCTTGCTCCGCGTGGTGTGGATGAATCTTGGCTTTCTACGAATTTATTTCGTACCACTTGTACGATTAGAGGGAAAGTCTGTCGTCTTATTGTGGATTCAGGCAGTTGTGCTAATGTTATTTCGAAGGAAGCTGTCTCGAAGCTCGCTTTATTCACCGAGCCTCATCTGACCCATTACAAGCTTGTTTGGATCAACACCAATACGGAGCTACGCATTAGCAAGCGCTGCCGAGTTCTTTTTTCTATTGGTACCAGCTATAAGAACTTTATTTGCTGAGACGTTGTACTGGTGGACGCTTGCCATGTCTTATTAGGCTGTCTGTGGCAATATGATCGACGTACCACTCATGACGGGTTTTCAAACACTTATAGTTTTCTTTATGAGGGCAAGAAGATCACATTGTTGCAGTACGGACGTTGTGTCCCCACCCAAGGCTCCACTTCATGACCCCTCGGTTTTGTTTCTCTCTAAATCGGATTTTGTTGAAGAAGCACGTACTGCAGATGTCATGTATGCATTAATTCTTTCTCCCATCGGTCCAGATTTTGTGGGTTCAGCTCCACTGGAATTTCATCAGCTTCTTACTGAGTTTCGTGATGTGTTTCCAGAAGAGTCACCGACTGGTCTTCCTCCCCTTCGTGGTATACAGCATTGTATTGATCTAGTACCGGATGCAACCTCTTCCTAATCGACCTCATTATCGCATGAGTCCGCAGGAGCATGACAAAATGCTATGGCAGGTTGAGGAGCTGCTGGCTAAGGGTTATTTGCGGGAGAGTTTGAGTCCGACTGCTGTGCCGACATTGCTTATCGCAAAGAAAGATGGCACTTGGCGTACGTGTGTTGATAGCCGCGCAATCAAAAAAATCACAGTACGCTGTCGTTTTCCCATTCCTCGACTTGATGATCTTTTAGATCAGACTGATTCGGCCACTATTTTCACAAAGTTAGACTTAAAAAGTGGATATCACCAGATTCGTATACGACCTGATGATGAATGGAAGACGGCATTAAGACACGTGAAGGGCTATTACTTATTTGAGTCGCTCGTCATGCCTTTTGGATTATCTAATGCACCGAGTACTTTCATGCGTGTCATGAATCAAGCACTTCGTTCCTTTATTGGTCGATGTGTTGTGGTTTATTTTGACGATAATTTGGTATTCGGTTCATCCCTTTCTACTCATTTGGAACATCTGCCCGATGTCTTACAGGTATTGCGTCAGGAAAAACTCTTTGGAGCTACTAAGAAGTGTGCGTTTGGTGTGTCTTAGGTGCTATTCTTGGGCTATATAGTTTCGGCGCAAGGCTTACAGGCTGATTGATAACACATGATTTTGACCACTTTTCACCATTGATTTCAAATGCTTTTTCAAATGTTTTACTTAGTTTTAAGAACTTTTATTATGATTTTCATGTATTTGTAGTTTCAAGGCTCTTTTCAAGAAACTTAGGGAATATGATGGCAAAATGGAAGAAATCCACATTTTTAGCTCAGAGTCAGACCGTCAGAAGTTCAGCCTCAAATGAAGACTTTCTCACCGTCCGATCCATCTCTAATTTGGAGACAATCAAGAGGAGAAAACTAGCTTTTCATACCACTTTACATC